AAGAGTATCTTCACCAATAATTTCAGGAAAAAACATGACAATTAAAAATTCTTCTTTCAGTGAGGCTTTTTGAAACCTTAGACATTTTTTATCAATTTTTAAAATTTAAATTAGAGACAAGATTGTTTTACATGTCAATCCCAGTTCCCTGTCCCTACCCTACCCCCTACTAACACCCTACCTGTCCCATATCATTTCTGCTCTCCAGGGAGGGTGAGGTCTTCCATGGGGGGTCTTTAGAGTCTGTCATATCCTTTGGGATAGGGCCTAGACCCTCCCCCACGTGTCTAGAATGAGGGAGTATCCCTCTATGTGGGATAGACTCCCAAAATCCATTCCTATACTAGGGATAAGTACTGATCTACTACAAGAGGCCCCACAGATATCTGAGGCCTCCTCACTGACACATTTATGGAGTCTGGATCACCCCATGCTGGTTTCCCAGCTATTAGTCTGGGGATCAAGAGCTCCCCCTTGTTCAGGTCAGCTGTTTCTGTGGGTTTCATCAACCTGGACATGACCCCTTTGCTCATCAATCCTTCTCTGCAACTGGATTCCAGTTCAGTTCAGTGTTTAGCTATGGGTATCTGCTTCTACTTCCATCCGCTGCTGGATGAAGGCTCTAGGATAGCATATAAGTTAGTGGTCAATCTCATTATCAGGGGAGGGCATTTAAGGGAGCCTCTCCACTATTGCTTAGATTCTTAGTTGGTGTCATCCTTGTAGATCTCTGGACATTTCCCTAGTACCTGATTTTTCTTTAAACCTACACTGGCTCCCTCTCTGATGGTATCTCTTATTTTGCTCTCCTCTATTCTTCCCCCTACACAACCTTCCTGCTCCCTTATGTCCTCCTCATCCCTCCTTTTCTCCCCTTCTCATTCTCCTAGCTCCCTTTCCCCTCCTCTCATGCTCCCAATTTGCTCAGGAGATCTTGTCCCTTTCCCCTTCTCCTGGAGACCATGCATGTCTCTCTTAGAGTCTCCTTGTTTCCTAGCTTCTCTGGCAGTGTGGATTGTAGACTGGTAATCCTTTGCTGTATGTTTAAAATTCATATGAGTGAGTACATATCATGAAACCTTAGACATTTTAAAATGTCCCTATTCACTGAATGTATCTGAAAGTGATACTTTTATGTATTTCCATTGTTTAATATGGGCCATGTTATCTTAGTTGACATTGTAAATTCAGATATTACAAATTTTTTTTATAAGTGAGCAGCCTGACAATGGCTTTGGTTTTTTTGTGTGTCTATTTTTTCTTATAGTAGACTTCTAAACTTTTATTGTTAACAATTTCAATAAACTTCAGATTGGAAATATCTTGAATTATTGGGCCAAGTTTCAAAGCGTGGTGTCTCATTTTAGGGGACTTTCTTGGTACCCACGGCAACATGCCACAAGCTGTGTATTTGGAAATCAGGTCCTTCAGGTTTGATTTGATAAGTACTACGGTTGGTTGGCAGAAGAACTGAACCAGATGAGGCATAAACCTCTAATGTATGCAGACTGTTAAGTACTAAGCACCACAGCGGAGCTTCTATTGCTGTTGAGTAACTATTGATTGCTACTATTATTTTATTATCATAACAATTACACTGTGGTCTTTGATAAAATGGATTCGTAGTTTTTATGTTTTGGCTATTTTATATATTTTAAAACAAGAATGTTTTACATTTTATATTTATTTTTCATGTATGTGACTGTTCATGTTACAGTACATAGGGAGGTCAGAGAACAACTTGAGGACATCAGGTTTTCCTTCCACCATATGGGTCCCCAAGATCAAACCCAGTGAGACTCTGTGGCAAATGCCCTTAGTGAGCCGTCTCACCATCCCAAATGGTATTTAAAAAAGAAAGAAGAGCTGGGTTTTCTGTAAAAGCAATGTATAGTTAGCAAATTGACCCCCACTCCTTTTTGGGAAAGAGTGGGTTAAAGTTATGGAATTCCATAGCAGAATTTTACAGTTTCCTTTGGTATAATAAATGAGATGCAATTAACAAGATAAAGTGTAGAAGGCTAGGAGTTAATGTACTGCTCATACATCAAAAGAGACTCTTGGATAAGTCCAGGACATGGCATTATCAGCCTTACCCCAAAGTTCATTTGAAGGCCTAAGAGTTCAAGTTGGATATAATTTGTTTACGAACAGGTGCCATCTTTGGATGCATTAATAGGTCTTTAATGTTCAGTTCATTAGAGGTGCACTAGGCAGGCCCACTGGAATGCTGTGTTTACGAGACCTTAGCTCATAGTTTCAGCAAATACTAAGGCTGTGAGACGGGTGAAAGAGTCTACTCAACAGTAATTTAGGAATCTTATAAAAACACCCAAAAATATTATGAAGCTCCCCCACCCCTCAAAAAAGCATATGATTGCCAAACAGACCATTTATTATGTTATATATAGAGTTACTAACAGGAGGAACATGGGAACATTCCATGGATATGGGTAATGAACCTGAGGAAGGAGAGCATTTGAGAGCAGTGGGTCCCCCTCTGATGCTTAGTTTTGTTTTAACTAACCGCCTAATTGACTGACCGAGTCCACGAATTAGTACCATGGTAGAGTTGAACAAATCAACAAAAGAATGAAGGTAATGATTAAAATTTGTGAGTTGAGTTTTTCTTAGGCCTCCTTGCCACCAGGTACCTCCCCTATAACGTGATTGTTTCACTCCTGGCAAACTGTTGGAAAGCAGAAAACATTTCTGATTCATCTGGTTTTGGGCTGATTTGCAGTAGTAGAAAAAAAATTAGTTAAGAAATTATTTTACCTCTACCTGAGAAGCTATTAATGGCTGCTAGGAGAGGGACAATTTATTTTCCGTAGTGATATCTTATTTATGATTTATTAAAGCTTAACTGAAGATTCAGAAAAGCAAAGTCAGCCCCAAGCTATAGAGATCAGGCAGTGGTGATACACACCCTTAATTCCAGCAGCTAGAAGCTAAGAGGTGGCGGTACACACCTTTAATCAAAGGACTCGGAATTAAGAGGTAGATGGATCTCTGTGAGTCCAAGGCCACCCAGATCTACGCAAGAATGAATCAGTCTAAAAGAGAATCATAGCTCTCACCTTTAATCTCAGCACTAGAGGGGTATAAATGACAGGAGCAAGTAGTCGGTATGAGGCATTCATTCTCTAGACACACTGATGAAAGGTTGCAGTCTGAGGCTTGGTGAAGAGCTGGTCCGTGAATCAGCGCTTTCAGCCTGAGGTTCAGGTAAGAAGGTAGTGGCTGGCTTCTTGGCTTTCCTGATACTCAGCTTGAAGTTTGAATCCCAATGTCAGTCTCTGGGTCATTTATTTATTTGTGTTACCGTTTTCTTCAATGGAATGAGTGACACTGGGTATATCAGCCACACTGCAGGGAAGGCTCCCTGCTCAGGAGTAGTTGACTGACACAAAAGGGACTCCATGGTTATTCTGTGTGTGCTTTGTTGTTACTATGCTTTGGTGGTCTTTTTGTCTTTGGGGGTTTGTTTTGTTTTGTTTTTTGTTGGTTTTATGAGAGTGAGAAAGGGAGAGAGCATCAAGTTGGGTGAGTGTAGGGAGGATGGGGAAGACTGGAGGGAAGGGGGAGGAATATGATCAAAATATATTCTATAAAAATGTAAAAAATTGCCAATTAAAAAAGAATGAAATGATTTCTTCCACAAAGACAATATTATTAAAAAATATGATGGTATAATGACAGACTTCTTGCCACTGGTGATATTTATTTATTCATTTATTTACCTATTCAGTTAGTTCATTAGTCTTTTCAGAAACTTAAAATACTGTCAGGAATTTCAAAATTGTTGTATGTATTAGTGGACAGATTGGAGTGACTATATGTGTATGTGTGTGTTGGAAGACATTTCTGGGTGGTAGAGTTCACAGTCTCCCCATGGCCTGGCAGCTTATCTCAATAGCTCAGTAATATAGAAACTCTTTCCCCTCCTAGCAAAGCTTCCTGCTCTCTACCCAGCCTTATCTGGAGGATGTCTCTAGGCCCTGATGTCTGACTTATCTCAAGGGTTACTCTTGACACAATTCCCTGCAAACATTCTTCCCTGATGACCCACATGGTAATTAGGCAAGTGCTCTAGCCATTTTGATAGGACCTGATTGTCACATACAAAGCCTGGTGATAGGAGAGTGCCACTTAATGCAAATTAGGGTTTGTCCCCAGGCTCTCCAATCCTATATATTTCTTATACACTGGAATAAAGTTCAGCTGATTCACTGAAGTCTGCCTCCTGGAGGTCTGTCTCTGTTCGTGCCCACAGCTGTCTTGAATCCTGTTCCCTGCTTCTCTTCCCTCCATCCTCATGGACCAATGTAGCCAGTGATCCCAAGCAAGAAGCAGAACCACTTGTGTGTGTGGTGGGCGGGGCTGGGGGTGGTGGTGCCCATTTCAACTCAAAGAATCATTGAGAAAGAAAATAAGCACCACAGAAAGCAAGGATTCTTGTGACTGGCTTATAAAAGTGAACTAAAGGCAAGTTACAGGAAATTCCTACCTAAAATTTCAAATTCCTTATAATACTCTGTCATCCATTTTCCTTGATTTATTATGTTTTCAGCCTTTTTGCTTTTTGCTCTTTTGTTGTTGTTGTTGTTTTGAGATGGGGTCTCTATGTAGCTCTGACTGTCCTGGAACTCTGCAGACCAGGCTGGCCTCAAACTCAAAGATCCATCTACCTCTGCCTCGCAAGTACCAAGATTAAAGGAAAGTGCCACTACACCTGGCTAGCTTTACCAGTCTTAAGTGCTATATGTATGTCTTCTTCTTACCACCCTCCACAAACCCCCTATGGTATAAATTTCTCCAGGGTGATAGTTTTATCTTCAGTTTCCTTTTCTGTTCTGAGGAGTGCATATATTATTGGCATGGGATGTTTGCAAGTTTTCTGTAGGTAGTATGCTGTGTATACCATACCTTTACCTTCTTAAGTCACATCTTAGATGTATTGTGTGATTGAAACTTTTTTGTATTATTTTTAATTGCAGAAGGCATTACGACCGGATATGGGCTATAATACCTTAGCCAACTTCCGAATAGAAAAGAAAATTGGTCGTGGACAATTTAGTGAAGTTTATAGAGCATCCTGTCTCTTGGATGGAGTACCAGTAGCTTTAAAAAAAGTGCAGGTAAGATGGTTTTTAACTGCATAAATCCATGTTAAGTTATGATATCTATTATATGGGAAGCAATTTCTGGAAAGATTTGGGTCACAGAGCTGTAGTTTGTGCATCTCAAGAAAGAGTTTTATATTTTAATAGTGTATTTTGAAGGTAATGTGTGGTAGAAATTAACTTTTCCATACCATGTTTGCATAAAGCTGATGCTAAACCTGTCTTGTTATACTTTTATTATATGGGCCTCTAATAAGCAAAAATTGATGTTTACTTTTAACAGTATTTCCAGGCTTTAAAATGTTGACAACTATCTCCCCCCATAACCAACAATGACTGGGGGTTATGGCAGATCTCAAAAGGTAGAGTTGAGGTCACTGTCACTACTAACTAGACACTGAAGTAGAATGTCTCAGCTGAAGCTCTGTGTCTATTTGCTATCGAAGGAAGTAATTGGTCCATAAAACACATTGCATGACGTCAGGGAATGGCAGGTGGATCTTATTTACTTGGGGAAAGTGATATAGAGGAAATGAGAGGATTAACCCATGATTTAAAGTCTTACCTAGCATGTGTAAGCCAGTATGTTTGATCCCCAGTACAAAAAAAAAATATTAAACGAAAGATCCACGGGATATATGTTTAGGTTATAAGCAGCAATGCTGGTGTCCTTATACTCAGCTTAAGAAGTAAACATCAAAATAGTCTCTATCGTGCCTTTTACCCATTCCTCAAAGAGATCTATATTATAAATTTAGTGGCTGCTGAGGTTGCTTACAAGTATTTGCTGGTCAAACAACACTTACATGATATTATTTGTTTTTATTAGGCAATGCAAGAAATTCTTTTTAATTTGTGCCTAACTGTAGAAAGGGTGGCTTGTAGAGCATGCTTGCACACCACAAGTTAATTCTGGGTTGTTTTCCCCAAATTGGACTAGTTTATTTTTTCCTGGCAACACAAGGCTGAGTGAGGCAAGAACACTGGTGGTTTTGAGTTTGAGGCCAGCCTGGGTTATATATCGAGACCAATATAAGATACAGATGTCAGTGTTTAGAAAACACATGACTTGGGGTAAGATTACTCCTCTACTGAAGACTCTTTAATTCTTATTAAAACTCTACTAAGTTCCAGTTTAATTGTCTATCAGGACAAAGAGTTTGCTTAAAACAATTGCATGTTAAACCCTGTGTTTGGACTCCTGATTTAAGTAAGACTTTGTAGAATAGAGATGCCAGTTTGTGCTGTTGGGGGTTTAAGCCAGGCTATGAATTGGAGGAGTTGAAACTAGGAAAAGGAATTTAAGCAGGAGATAAAGGATTTTCTATAGACCCATCCCTAGGTGGAAACATCTTCAGATATCAATATTCTCAAAATACAGTTACAAATTCCTCACTTAGTACCTCATGGAGAGGAAAGCTCACCTTTTGCCCAAGGTGGTGGACAAGGCCATGGGATAAAATTCAGTGACTTTCTTGGCTCCCTTCTTGGCTTCCACTAACTGTAAGTGTGGAAAAGGAACAGGGCTCTAGCTCTCTCCTCTGATTGCCTTTTAATTGCAGAACCTTGTTAGTGGAACCAGGAAGAAAGAAGAGGGTGGGGTTGCCTCCTGGGAGGGAGCATCTACTTAGCTCTCACAGTAGCATCTGGATTCTGTCCCCTTGCCTGTGTTTTGCTCTCTGTAGTTTGGAAGGCTGACAGTGAGTGAGTGAGTTTATACAGTTGCATTTTTCTTCAGCTTCCAATGTCCTCCTTAATTCTGGCTGCCCCCGTTTTGTACTGTATGCTTCAGATGCTGTGGGAAGTAGTCCGTGTGCTTTGGACTTTGTCATTTCTCTTCTTTAAATGCTGGTGCTCTGGTGTCTCCCAGTTTAAACGTCACTTTGTACGGAAGAGACAAATGATGCTATAAAGTGTTACCTAGCTTGTTTGATTAGGGAACGGTGTTTTAAGGCTTTGTGAGGGGCAATAATTTGCATCTCAGATACATTATTGATTTCTGTGATGTATTACACTTGTGTTGAACAAAGAAAAACCACTATTTTTCATTTTTAAAAATAGTAATATGCTCTCCTCACAGTGAAAAAGCACTCTAACCAAGTGATGTTCTGCTGTGAATACTTCCAGACAAATATTCAAAAATCTCCCGAAGAACCAAATACTGATGTTTAAGTCTACATCATTAGTCTCAGAACTGTATTACTGTTCTCAACTCTGTGAAAATCCTTCCAGAATGTTTTGGCTGTGTGCAGTGCAGATGCTAAAGTATTGCTTCTTTAATTACTTCCTTGTTTGCAAATCTGTATGGAATATTTATAACTTCACTATCTGATCTCTGAGCTTAATTAATGTTCAGGGCCCTTAAGGACTGCCCTGTATCATGCACTTCACTTATGTAGGGCCTTTAAAAACCAATGTGCTGAGTTCCAGCTACTACTTTATGATTCATTCGCAAAGTAAGATGGCATCTTACCTGATATAACCATGCCGAACCTCTCGGTGTAAATTTTTCTTCCCCATCCCTGTTTTTTTATTTCGTACACAGCTTCCCTTTCTGCTGATTATTCGGTTAATTACACCCACATTCTTTAATTACTTAGTGTCATTGGCCAGTGCATAAGACTTTGAGACTAAAATATTTGTATTGGGATTTAATGAGATTCTAATGGTAGCAGGTGATAGAACAAAAACATTTCTAAAATCCTGGCATATACCTTGATGGGAGCAGTCTATAGGAGCACAGATGGGGTGGGGGTGGGGGCTTTCACAGAACTATCTATGGGTCCGGTGACTCTCAAACTTCTAGATTTTATACTGGAAGATTGTTGAGAAACTTCTTGGATGTAGTAGCTACAGTCTCTATTCACTATTTTTTAGCTCACTGACCAGAGCTGCAGTATGACTGGAGTGAATACTGACCTTACCAGTCTAAAAGCAGGGGAGAAGTAGGAATTTGGGGTTACTGTATCTCAAGTTCTTTGGCTATTATTACTAGAATTTTTCAATACTACCAACTAATTTGGTCCATAGATCATTAAATTCTCTTTGCTTCCTAGGTTGTATTACACATGACATTATTTTAAAGATATACTTCATGAATATTTATTAAAAAAATCTATTTTGAGCATTTTGTTCAAATTCATCTTTTTGATCTAATGAAACTTTCTGGAAATGTATTCTTATCTGTTTAATGGTTTACTTTGATTTGTTCATTATTAGTTTTTTTAAAGCGTTTATCAAGGATATAACTTTCAAAATTGTCAAATACAATTCGTCCTTTTGTATACACTTAATTTTAAGTTCTGGAGTCTGTATATGTAGTTAGATTCTACATGTATGTATGCAGTTCTGTGTGTATTAAAATTTTGAGGACAGTGATGGCTTCTTCCACAATGCATTGGTTGGTGCTGATGTCTTCACAGCTTCTCCAGCCATAGACCCAGTCTGTGCTGCAGAGTTTGCTGTGACCATTGAACATGTCTTATAGTTTGTATGAAATTTCATTGTTTAATTTCTGTAGACTTCTTGCAAGCCTGGAGTTAATGAAATATTGAAAAATGAGGAAGATTTCTAAGAGTAACATGTAATCAGCATTTTTTTTTTTTGAGTGGAGAAAAGTTGAGGCAGTTGAGGTGAGGTTCATTTGAAAAGATGAGTTAGCTGTAAAGTAAATTAGTCTTAATTAGGAAAGTAGTCTTAAAAGTTAAAGCTCTCTGGACACTGAGATGGCCCAGTGGGTATAGGTGTTTGCTGTGCAAGCCTGGAGACCTGATTTCAGATCCCTTGGGTGGAATGAAGAGTCAGCTCTCAAGAGGTGTCCCTTGACCTCCACTTGTGCACCATGGTAGGCACACACACACACACACACACACACACACACACACACACACAGAGAGAGAGAGAGAGAGAGAGACAGAGACAGAGACAGAGACAGAGAGAGACAGAGACAGAGAGAGAGAGAGAGAGAGTTAATAATACAGGTTTAAAAACTAAGGCTCTTATATGCTTACAATCTTACTTGAAATCATTCTAGGCATAAACAACAGTAAACCTGTAGTCTTACCGAGAGTTTAGCCGTATTGTGATATTCTAATGAATGACCACATTTAGTCTAAACAGATGACTAATGTTAAAATGTATTCTACTTAAAACTATAGGCTTTTCTAGTATTTAGTTTCAGGGAGTAAATGCAGTGAAAGTCACTTTTTATTTGTACGGTTGAAGATCATTTATTAATATTTGTTGAAGCTCTCTCCTCTATGATGGAGAATAGTGAGTACTGGGGACTTGGAAATTTAATCTGGTTATTTAATTGGTTATCTGTAAGAGACAGATAACCAATCAAGTAACTACAGACCAAAACCAAATGGCCATGTGATACGAGAATCAAACTTGATGGAGGGGGACAGCTTTCTGGATTGTGTGTGGCAACGCAGTCTTCCCTGAGGATGGGAAGCCTAAGCTGAGGTAGAGGAGAGGAGTCTCTCATCCAAACATCGGGAGTAAGGAAGCTCCCAGAACAGATCACACAGGCCCAGCCTGTGCAGAACGGGAGAGTTTCAGAATTGACTGAGAGCAGATCACTGTGAGGGCATGAACTAGTGTTGCGCTCCAGAGCCAGAAGGTAGCTTAGACATTTGAGGGCTTCATATATAGAGTATGAAGAAAAGTTCATTTATATGTTGCTGTAAGAGTAAGGCAACCATCGAAGGGGTTTACATGGGTGAGTAATAAAGGCTAGCATATTTTTAAAGACAACTATGCAAAAAGTGGATTCATCATTTTTGCTCCACAATATAACCTACTAATTGTGACCTGAGAAGTATTCAGGTATTAAATAAATATTGCTTGCAATATAATAAGATAAAAGCACAAAATTTTAAACATTTTGCAAACATTATTTAGCAAATTCAGTGAGCTCTGGCTTCCACTTCGGAGGCAGGTTTGAAGGGCAGTACACTGGTTTTATGTTCTGTCATTGAGCCTGGCCCAGTTAGCATTCCCACCTCCTCACA